TTAAAACTTTCTTATTTGTACATATTAACAAAAAAATACAAAAAGAATAAACACCATACTTAATTTTCTTATTAAGTTAACATTCCATACTTGTAAATAATCATACACTTACACATTTACAATACACAAATACATTTATTTTACATTGACACATTCACATTTGCTATACATTGCTATACATTATGTTTTACATTTGTGCAATTCGATTTGGTTGTAAATTATTTGGACACTACCCTCCTAAAGTCTCATCCCCATTTGCATACATTTGTACCCCCACTCCCGGATACTTATTTGTAATAGCGTAGACTTTAAATTCCCGCAATTTACCGCTTTCAAATATACCATGGTTAGACCTAGGGTTTGTATGTACATAAAATCAAACGCTAGATAACCTAATACAAGACAAATACATGAAATCAATACACAATCACACTTGCACCCCTAGGGTAATCCCACATGTTGCCTTCCAAAATGGGCCATGCTTGCACGTCGAGTTTCTTTGGCAAAACAATTCAAATGATCATAAGTCCTTCGATGACGCTTTCGAAAGTTGCCTAAACGGAATGGTCATAGTCCCTTCAAGTAAAATTGCCAAAGACACTTGGCATCATTGCATTCATGGTCCATACGATGACCCGCGCCTGTCCCGTTAAACATCCTAAACGCAAGATTGTCCACCAAATACAATGGTGGAACAAAATTGTTAAAAAGGGTTAAAACATGAGAAAAACCTTTGAGTAAACTTAGGGGTAGACAAAACTCTTAGTTACTTGATCAACTTGCAAAAACACTTGCCTACTTTTCAAACCACACTCCACAAACACTTTCAAAATAAACTTCCAAAAACATTTGAAACATCTTTTCAAAAAGATACACACCTTCGTATATACTCAAACACGAGTCATTACAACGGTTGCCGAAACAAAGGCGTCTATTTCAAAACATTTTCAAAAAACACACACACACACACACCATTTCAAGCAATCAAAAATCAAGGCAAGTGATCTAAAACCAAGTAACTAAGAGCCCATGGATAACCATGGATGAAAAGGGTGCTAATACCTTCCTTTTTCATAATCTACCCCCCGAACCCACGAAACATCTCAAAAGGTTTTTCCTGTGCTTTTTTAACCTTTCCTTTATGATAAAATAAAAAGTCGGTGGCGACTCTTACTCAACCGAAACATTTGCGAAAACAAACGCAAAACCTCAAGTAAGTTCTTCCACCGTATCACACCTTGGTTTCTTTGACTTGATCATTTCCTTCATGAGTCATTTTGAGAGATCCAAATATAGACTTGGTTGAGTCTCTATTTGTGATCTTCTCATATCCCGTGTAAGAAATAGCATTCAGCAAGATAGTTCTTGCTTTGTGATGATTCTTATAGTTCTTCTTTTGCTGATCAGTCATAGCTTTTCTTTCAAGCTGCTTTCCATTCTCATATGTAGGATGTTCACATCCATCTACTAACATATCCCAAAGATCAACATCATGACCTAGAAAGAAACTTTCTAGTCTATCTTTCCAATACTTAAAATTTTCACCATAAAAATGGGAGATTTATCATTGTAGTTATCTTTATCAGAAACTAGAGCAGGTGGTGGTGGAACAAGATCAACCATAGTGTTTCTAAAACTCGTCTGAATCTTTATCTGACACGATTAATTGTTTGATAGACATCAATATCAGAATTGAAGCTGTGATATCAATTGAAGGTGCGAGAAACACAAGAAATGGGAGTTTGAATTGAGTTGCACCAAATATAATCTTTTTACAACTCAAAACATAAAGATAACAAGTGAATAAAAAGGGATCAACACAATTATTTTTATACGAATTCACTGTTAACTAAGTTACTCCAATCCACTCTACAAGATAATTTACCTTATCCACAAGGATTTAACACGTGCCCTTAAGACAAAGACACATATTACCATGACCTTGTTTAAAAGAAAAGCAAAATTTGTTGGATATAATCAATCTCATTTAATGAGATAAAATTTGTGTGTAGTCATATAAATTGAACATCCTATTTTTAATATATTTTAGCTTTTAAAAAACATTATCATTGTATTAAAGAACATTATAATATCATATATATCACATAATTTAAAACGGATAGTTAATTTTGTGAAAAAGATAAAATAGAAGAAGAAAGTTGGGAAAATAAAAAATGAAGAGGGTGTACTAGCGAGCTCGAACATGTCACGAACAAACATGGGTTAGTTCTGACATTCAGTAACACTTACTTATGATGGCTTTGTTGTCGCAAATTGGATTCGCACACTTCACTCCACCTTCATCTCTATCTTCTCCTCCCATCACCCATTTCCGCCACAACCCCTGTTCATCAATGTCTTCTTCTTCTTGGACACCATGTGATGACAAGGATGGTAAAAAATCAAAGAAAGTGTGGATATGGACAAAGAACAAGCAGGTTATGACCGCAGCTGTTGAGAGAGGATGGGACACTTTCATTTTCCCATCAAACCTTCCCCAACTCGCCAATGATTGGTCATGTATGTATTTCTACTCTCTAACATTATTCCCTTGAATTATCATAACCCTTATTTTGGCATGATGGAGTACAGCCATTGCAGTAATCCGTCCTCTTTTTCTTGGTGAGGGAGAGATTTTAGATGCACAGAATAAAAGGGTAGCCACTGTTTTTGACGTTTCGACGCCAGAGGAATTAGAGGGACTTAGACCCCAGGATGAACACGCAGAGAACATTGTAGTTAACTTACTAGATTGGCAGGTATGTTTCAACTTGCTGTCAGAATCTTTTAGCGTGGTTTTTAGGGTGAAGAAGTGTCTCATATAGTTTACGATGAACCGATGCTTGAAACTCGTTCGAAACTCTAACAATGATTGGTGAAGAAGCGTAATAATGTTGTAAAATGTTAACTTTCTTTGTATACAATTTCTCACTCAGGTAATACCTGCAGAAAATATAATTGCTGCATTTCAAAACAGCCAAAAGACTGTGTTTGCCGTCTCCGATAATACATCCGAAGCGCAGATATTTCTTGAGGTATATAATATGAATCGATGAAGCTAACTTTTCTTGCTTAAAGCTCAAGTACATCTTCTTACAGTTGAGCCCTTTGAGTTTTATAGGCTCTCGAACACGGTTTAGATGGCATAGTTTTGAAAGTAGAAGATGTTGAGCCTGTTCTTGAGCTAAAGGTAATTCGTCACCTATTTGAACTTCTTGAGTAATGAGTCATGACCTCTTATTTCAGTTGGAAAAACTTTCAGGAATATTTCGACCGGAGAACAGAAGAAAACAATGTATTGAACTTGACCAAAGCCACTGTGACAAACATTCAAGTGGCTGGAATGGGGGATCGTGTTTGTGTCGATCTCTGCAGTCTCATGAGGCCCGGTGAAGGACTTCTGGTATGTATCCATTTTCTCTGTGAAGGTTATCTCGGTTAATCTAGTGAATCCGCCATTCTTATTGGCTAACAAAATTCTCTAGGTTGGTTCTTTTGCTAGAGGATTGTTTCTTGTTCACTCAGAATGCTTGGAGTCAAATTACATTGCAAGCAGACCTTTTCGAGTGAACGCGGTAAGTTGTGCCTTCGAATCTTGAGCTCAAACGATGTATGATGAATCCTTCTAACCGGTTACTTATCATAACAGGGACCAGTACATGCCTATGTTGCTGTTCCAGGAGGAAGAACAAGCTACCTGTCCGAGTTAAAATCGGGAAAAGAAGTGATTGTGGTCGATCAACAGGGTCGGCAAAGAATTGCAATTGTCGGACGTGTTAAGATTGAAAATAGACCACTAATTCTTGTGGAGGCAAAGGTTTGTGTTTTGCATTAATCGGAAAAAAATGAAATATTTGCTTGATGATAGTGATGCTAAACACTGCGTATCATTTCAGGCCGAATCAGACAATCAAACAATCAGCATACTTTTACAGAATGCAGAAACGGTTGCATTGGTTTGTCCCGTACAAGGTAATTCAATTTGTTTCTCGCTATTTTCTTGCAGTTTCTTCGGTTTCATCAATTGTTGTATGTTTTTCTGTATTCAGGAAATAAACAGTTAAAATCGGCTGTTCCAGTGACATCGCTAAAAGTTGGAGATGAAGTTCTGTTGAGAATACAAGGAGGGGCTCGACATACCGGAATAGAGATTCAAGAATTTATAGTTGAGAAATGAACAAGTAGTAATAATGTATATTCAAGTTGTAAGTTTCATTCTATTTTGTGTGCTCATCTTCTCCTTTTCTTCCAGCTTTAATGCTAGAAGAATGGTTATGATTTTTTTGGCTAGCAGAGACATGGAAAAGAGCAGGTTATATTTGGTAGACCAAAGCTTAGCATTATTTTCATTTCCATGATGTATGTTTTCATTGTGTGTTTATGTCGTTTTGCATAGAAAGTAAGCTATTCTATGTTAGATAAATGAAGAACCCCGACACGATTATACCAAATTGGGGCACAATTATGAGAAAAACCTAGTATAAATGCTAAACTTATGAGAAATAGCAGTGATGATAAGAAGACAAATCTACCGTCCAATAAGTCCATTAAATAAATAAAAGGATATGTTAGGCTTAAAGACATTTACCCTTATTAAAGGAGGTGCAAGTAGTTTTTTTACTCTACTTTTGTATTTTATTGTTGTTTCCAAAAGAGGATGCGGACCATTATGGTCGGTAAACCCTAATTATTTATAGTGTAATGTTCAAGTTGTCTCTTTCAATGAAAATTCAGAAGTTTGTTTTTATGTATTTTTCCTTTGCAAAGAAACCCTTTTTGTACATAACCTTTAAAGGGCCATTGTGGTGTTAAGGCCACCATAGCGCGATTGTTAGTCTCTTTTGTTTGGTTGGCCTATATCAAGAGGATATGTGTGTCTGGTATCAGGGGGGTCAATTATGAATAAGGGTTTGACCCTAGCAAAGTATCCTCTTTTTAGAAAAAGAAGAAGCGAATAAATACTTATGCAATTATCAATGCACATGATCAGAGTCGAATAAATGAAGAAGCAGAATCTTTTTGCAAATGCTTCTCGTACTTTATTCAGGATCGAATCACTGGTTTTTATGGTAGTTGTTGGCCAGGAGGACGTACTGGGCTCTGGTGACCTTTGTAGGGAGCGGGATGAGCTGAAGGAGAAATGTGAGGCTCTTGAGCATGGAAATTCTGAAGCTGAGAAGGAGTTGGCCGAGTTGTAGTCGAAAGTCGAGTCTGCTAGTCTGCTGACTCTTTGCGGGAAGTAGTGGATTGGTATGGTCTTCCGTCTACTTTGGGTGCTCAAATAATGAGGTTGAAGGCTTATCTTGACAAGAGAGAAAAATGTTGGAATAAGGCTTCTAAGGATGCGACACAAGTGTGTCGGGCGTTCGAAGCAGATCAGAAAGATCTTCAGCAGAAGAAGGATGACCAAATCAGTGCTTTGAAAGGAAATTGAATGAAAAGGAGAAGATGGACACACAAAACTGAATGAAAACTACAATCTGAATATACATTATTACTACAATTCTCGACTATAAATTCTTGAATCTCTATTTCGGTATACTGATCCCCTCTTTGTATTCTCAACAGAAACCACCATTCATATTAGGGAATCAATCTTCGTCGTTTTTTGAAATAAGACAAACACATGGAAGATCGTAAGTCTTCCTCAAAGTACATCTACACTTAGAACTATCTGAACCTGTCTTTTCTGCTCGATTCACTTTATGAAAAATGAAATTCAATCCTGCCTGAGATACATTGCCAACCAACTGCGAATAGAGGGTGTTGTCTTTGAATCTGTGTTCTAACACCTTAATGCTCCGACCAAAATTTGTTTGTATTTCATTATGTTGGTTTTGGAGTATTTGATTTATGACGGTCGTCTCTCTAAAAAAATCACCCTTACTATCACCCAACCATTTCTTCAATTCCGAATGTGCAGATTCGACTATGTGTTTATCGTGAAATTTGGTAAATAACCGCTAGTCCTCTAGAATTAAGAAAATTTCTGGTTACTCGCAGGATCGACTAGATTGATCCTAGAACATGTGCTGAATATTATTTTGTTTTAATATTTCTAAGTATTTGTTCTATGTCGAAAGGATAAATATGACAAAGGTAAAAGTAAAGGCAAAGGCTTGAAGATAAATGTTGAAAAGGTTTTAAAGTATAAACTGGAATGTAAAGAGTTCAACTAAAACTTTAAATGAAAAGTAAAAGACTTGATCTAAATGTAAATGAATTTGAATATAAATTGGTGTTTCAATACGTACATTCTCAATGAATCTTTTCTCTAACACTGATACTTCGAGTTTGTATGAGTAATTTGTACAAAAGTGAACACATTGAATCCTAATACAAAGATCATTATTTATATTAATTCGACTATAACAGTCTTTCTCTACAAAAGTGATACGTTCGAGTCTTGCATGCTTCTTCGAATCTTCAGGCCTCCGCGCGTCCTTCTGGATAAGATCAACCTATTTGAATTCGAAGCGCCAAAACAACAACATGATGTGTCGAAATGATTCAAATTTGAATCTTCACATTCCCTTAAGTTCCATACATTCCACAACAGTAGAAATTTCGTGACTTATTTAACAAAACCAAATTATCCATAGTTCAGTCGAAGACCATATGAAGTATTCTCATATTCTTTTCCATAACTAAACTTCTTTCGATTTCCTTATTTTCCTCAATGTCACATGTCGTCAAAATTCCCAGCTAACAAATTGCCTCCCAAAAATGTGTATTTTGAAACAATTGAAGAAATATTTTTTTTTTTGCAAAACCTTCCATTTCAATGACAAAATTTATTAATGATGGCTATTACTATTGTGACGTCATGGTCATAATGACCATCTTTCCAAACGTTTCATCAAGATGTGTAAAATTCAGTTTCCATTATTGCTACACTAAAGTAGATTCAAAACGTGGTTTCCCTGAAAAGCAACCACCTGGTCATTTTATTAAACACCAACACGTCTCCCACTATCTCTTTCATTTGAAAAAAATGAAACTAAATCGTTTGTTCCTTATAAATACTCATTTCATCTTCAAAAACACTTTTCTGTTCTTCATTTCTCTTATCTCCTTAGAAAAATTGTGAACTTCTTTCATCTTCTTCCTCCGAAAATCAACGTTTATCTTCAAGATTTTTCATCAATGGAGCCCACAAAGAAGAGCAACACATCTGGAAAAGATGTGAAAAACAATAAGTATGTTGCTTTTTCTCCTATTCAACATGTCACCAAACCCATTCTTTCTGAAAATCAAGAATTTGTTCCAACGCCAACATTTTCTGTTGAACAATAAGCTATTTACGAATCTCAGGTAATAATTCCTTTCACTCTTGTTGACAAAATCCTAGGATACATGGGCCCTATAATCCATGCTAATGATCTGAAAAAACTTAGAGAATTTTCCCCACATATCATGGAACCAAACCCATAGCGAGTGAGACTAGCTTCCAAAAGAATGTAGATGAAATTGTTGACAAAAACCCTAAGGAATCCATTATAGAAACTGTTCAAGAAGAATCCCCTACAGGTTTTGAAAATGTAGAAAAAAATTTCATCTGAATTATATGACTGATTCTTTTAGGCCCTTTAGGTCATGCCCAACAAAGGATAGTAAACAATATCTCGACTGGCTAGCTAAAGTCGAGCAAAAAAAATCCCAAGTCTGGAAAGACATGGGTATTTTCGACTTAATCCAACTGCCAAAAGTTGGGCCAAGCTATTTCCAACCCATGATGGCATCCTTGTATTTCTGGGATGGTACATATAATACCTTTCACCTTCCTTTTGGAATGGTTACCTCTACTTTATTTGATGTTGCTTCCATTACTAGGCTTCGACCCACTGGAGAAACCTTTGATCCTTTTGAACAAGCGACAAACACCATTGATTTTAAAGTCGAACATGCTGGTTTTACCAAGTACATCGACCATTACCATGCTGAAGGAGATGAAGTGTCGGATGTCAAACATATAACTTTTCTTGCCTTATGAGTCTCTAGGTGTATCTTCTGTAGAAAATATCTTCAAGTAGCTAATAGGTTCTTGACTCTAGCTAATCAACTTCACTCTGCTATAAATATATGCCTTACTGAGTTGATAATGGCTGGACTGTATAAATGTCTTGGGGAAGCTACTACAACTACGAAATAGTATAAAGTAGGTACCAATTTACTATTGGATGGCCTATATTTACTTCTCCAATTGTGGCTTAATGCCATGTTCAAACCTTCCCTCTCTACCTCTGGAACAATAGACGAAATGGACTATGAGATTTAGAGTCAAACTATTGAGGGAATCAGATTAGTTCGATTGACCCCAAACGATGATGGGAAGGACTTAGAGGAGTGATTTAAAAAGTATGTTATGATGTTTGTTAAACGTTATAACTTTACTCCTTCGATGGCTCCCTTTGCTAAGAGAACTCATAATCCTGAATGGTTTACAAGGTCTCTCTCCAACATTTCGCCAACTCAAGAGGCAAAAACCTTAGACATCTGGAAAGACTTTTTACTCCCAAGGCTGATTGTCACAAGACTATTGCCCATAAAAAGTCACATCCATTTACTTGCCTACCAACCCAATATTGTCTCTCGACAATTTAGACTTTACTAGCTTATTCTCGAACCACTCTTTGAAAGGAAAAATGCTCTCTACGTTCAGGGAATAAAGTTTTCTCTTTCTGATCGAGATCAACGTGTGGCTCGTTATGCCAACTTCACCGAGTTTACTCCAATTCCTTTCCAGCCGTCCTTCTACTAGACACAAGACTTTGACTCTTGGTGGAAGAAATATTATTCTGGGAATATCTTCAATGCAACCCTCTTCTATCAGCATCTGACAAAAGCTTTTTGCCTTTGTGCATTATCTAGTCAAGAAAGGTAAGCAAACACACATCAAGGAGATCCAGGCATTCCAAAAGTACTTTGAAACTGCCTATGACCCAACTAATCTTAGTCGAACCATACATAACACAGAAAAAATTTAAAAGATAAATTCACGAAAATGCTTCCTCATGTAAGTGTTCCTGCATGTGTCAAACCTGAAGATAGGTATGACTTAGCTTTCAAGCTCGGACCACCAAAATTACCAAAATTTCCTAGTGATGATTTTGGCTTGGGATTTTATCCTCCTTATCCAAACTGGTTCATCTGTGGGAATTATTTTAACTTTTTAAAACAACAGTCTAAAAAACTTACCGAATTAGTGGTTCCGACTAAGCATACATTGGACAGTTTCAAAGGCTTCTTTCACATTGACCTAAATTATGTCACAATACTTTCTCTAGAATGTAAAGGTGTGGAACCAAAGGACCTCTTGATCCTTTCGATCATCTTTTTTTCTTCTTCTCTTTCACAATTGATACTAACATGTATTATCTTATAATGTTCTCTTAGTTGTCAAAAAGAAACAAATGAAGAAAGAGAAACTTACTTCCATAACAGGATCGACAAATGCACCTAAGCAAACTACCACTTCATCAAAGAGTGCTATCCCAGATAGTCAAAAACCAAAGACAACATCTAAGGTATAATTTGGTATTTCACTTTCTTCTTTTATTGCAATACTTCTGATAATTCCTTTGCTTTTTACAGGCCAGTTGAAATCCTCCTCTTACTCCAAAGAAAAAAAATCAACTATGGAGATCCCATAAATTATTGAAAATGACGAAGACGCATCCCCCCTCCCTAAAAACCCAATAAGTTAAAGAAGAATAAGAATAATAATAATAAGAAGAATAAAGCACCATTTTCTGATGCAGTCTCTTCTCAACCACCAAAACCATTGCAGTCGAAATACTACCCCCAGCACCAAAGAAGAATAGCAGTTCCCAGCCATCTGGCAACGTTGTCCTGGAGAAAGTCGAGAGCGATAATTCAAGTCCTAGAGTCGAAGGACTGAAGGTATGATATTTTCATGTTATTCCCTTCAATATTTGTTGTCTTTTATTAAAATTATCTTACATTCTTCTTTTTACAGGATACTCAACTAGTTCATACTGAATCTCTAATTCAGTACGAAGTTCCTCCCAACAGAGACACTACTCCCTGTCACCCTTTGTCCACCAATAAAGATTCCAACAAAGGATCCTCTACTGATGTGAACCAACTCGACACTGTTGTGCAGCCTGGGAAAGAGCCTTCTCCTCAATATGAAAGTGATCATGAGGAACGTCAAACCACAACCAAGAGAGTTCCTATTGGTGAGGAACAAGATGATGATATCCCCTTGATTCTTCTCTAAAAAGGGCGATACTTAATGAAGAATTGCTTGATAAAGAAGAGCATCTGTCTGATGATGTTGCATAATACTTCCATGACGAAGAAGAAGAATATGCACATACTCATCCTGGATCGAAAGACAATACTGCTTCTGCTACCAGCAAGCTGACAGTGATATTAAACCATAACTTTCTCAAGAAGAATTGAACAACT